ATTCCAATTAATAAAATTTCGATTCTATAATATAAATTTAGAGGATTCTAGGAAACTATAATATCGGGACTCAGCCCTTGCCTCGTAATCGGGGCCTGGCCCAACGCAAAAAGATTGGCAATCTACAATACAATAGGCAATTCAGTCCAAATCTTCGAACCACAAAACAAAATCGGGAGATAAAATCTCGCCCACCCACAACCCAGCGCCACTTTAGGCACGGAGATTATATCACCCCGCTCCGAAAACGAGGCCCAAACCAAACACACAAAAAGGCCGAGAATCTCGATCCAAAAGACATCAATTCCTCGTAACTCAACTAAACACAAACTAAGAGAAATAATCGAAAAGGACACCGCCATGCATCAGAAGTGATCGAAGCGCTCATCGAAAGCAATAGACAAAATCAAGGAAACCAGCTCATCATCCTTAGACCGCACCTCCAAAATCACCTATTTATACGGCCAAACGCCGCCTCCCGATGCCTTTCACATGCCAAGTGATGACTTCTCTGCAATTCAAATGAGACTCGGATTCTAAATTGGGTCCATGTAGTCCCAAAACACAGAGCACGTTTTTCATCCACCATGCGAGCAAGGGACCAAAGAATCGTTTTCCCTCGGCATCCAATCCACCCGTACTTTCCCAAACCAGAGGCTCGTAACCAATGTTTTGAGCCACACATCGACTCCACAAATCATCATGAGTGCGTTTATGTTCGGCATATTGCCGTGCTGCTGCCAGTGTTTCCTGTGCCGCCACCCCAAGATACGAGATTGGAAAGGAGATGTAACCGCTACATCCAGGGCCACCGCGGAAAACGGCGCCAAGACGATTGAAGGATTTGCGGGGCTCCCATCACCAAAACATCCGCAAGTCTTATTCGGGAATCAGTAGGTAACAGGTTCACAGGCTCCAACGAGGGTCGCGCACCATCCTGCAAGGCTAAAGCAAACACAGCGTTCAAAATGGTGTGCGTGGCTTGTTTGTGTCCATGTCCCATGCAATGGAAAACATGGTGTCCGAAAGCATCCAAATTTTGGTGGCAAAAATAACATGCCTCCCCCGGTTCAAAATATGGAACTCCCAGCCGCATTGAAACAATATCTCGAAATGCAGCGTTGGTGAACAACAAATCCTGAGCCAGAGCGGGGCGTGCCCGAAGCCAACCATCTGCTCCTGAGGCAGCAAAAATGCGCAACCGCGCTTGTCCCACCATATCCGCTTGCTCCATCAAGAAACGAATCACCTTAGAGTGAATAGTTGCCAACAAGGTAGCTTGTTGTATCTCCATTCTCGGATCCTGCAGACCCGGGGCGTCACGAGGCAAGAAACGCATGACATGCTGAAGGGCCTGAGCTTCATACCCAGTATCAATTTGGACGGGAAAAGCGGGAAAAAGATCCAAAATGGTTTGCAAGCACTTGCGCTTTGACGCCACGTAAGCAAGATCCGCTAGGTGAACGTTCTCCAAGCCGATTTCGGCTCACGGACTAAGAAGTCCAAATCCCCCTTGCTTAGTAGGCAATTTGGCTTGCGACCACTGGGTTCGAGTCAAAACAGTGCCAAGACATAATTCCAAACATCTCTTCATTCGATCGTGGAAGAAATCCAAACATGGTCCAATCAACGGTCGAGGAGTGGTGCGGCACAAATGTTGCATCTTGTTAAAGGCAGCACTGCTCTGCATAAGATGGAAAGCAGCATGCTTGTGCGGCAAGCTTTCTATCGCAGAGAAGAGTTTCATACAAAATAATGGTTTCCAATAATAATATCAATTCTACCCGGAGAATTGCAATTTTGAAATACAAATCTAACGCACAAAATAATACTAGTTGGAAAATCATAATTTTATAGTGTAAATATAATTCAAAAGTATAAATTTCCAATTTTGGGTAGAAAATCACAATTTTTAAATATAAATTCAAATGTTAAATTCCAATTCGGAAATCATTAAAAAAAAAACAAATTCTAGCTAACACACAAATGTAATATTTTTTATAACAACAAATAAAACATGCAAACTACAAATGTACAAACTACAAAATATAATTTTTGCAATCAACAAAAAATATTTATAATTATGTAATAGATTTATATAAAATAATATATATTCGATTTCATAAATTCTATTTTGTTTTTGATTTTTCAATCAAAACAAAAAATATAAAAAAAAAAACATAATTGTATAATAAATGTCCAATATATAAAATATATATTCATAATTTCAATTCGAAAATCATTTTTTAAATATATATCATTGTTTTTTCATAATTCCAATTCGAAAATCACCACTTTAAAAAATATATCTAATGTACGAAATACATTTCGTCAACTCCAACTCGAAAATTAAATTTTAATAATATAAATCCAAAATACATTTCCATAATTCCAACTCGAAAATTGCAACTTTGTAATTCAAATCTAATACGCCAAATGCATTACTACAAATTCAAATTGAGAATTACTATATCAATTCCGCAACGCTCCAGCTCCAGCTCGAAAATCGCAATTTTGTCATACGCAAAGTACATTTCCATAACTCCAACTCGTAAATCGCAACTTTGGAAAAAAACAAAAACAATGCATTTCCTCAGCTCAAAACGCAGCTCCAACTCAAAAACCACAACTCACGAAATACACTTCCAACTCGAAAATCGCAACTTTAATAAAATTACAAGTCTAGTAAGCGAATTACACTCCAGCTCAAAAATCGCAACCTTGTAGAGCAAATCTAGTACACATTCCCCCCTCCTTTCCCTGCACTTCCTTGCATTTCCCCTTCGCTCTCCCCGGTATTTTTTACGGGTTTGCCAACATGTTCGCAAACATGCTGTGAACGACACAACGTTTTTCTAGGTTTTCGACAGAAGGAAACCGAAAACCCGAACCAGCAAAGAGCCGGCAGGGGGATTCGAGCCTAGGACCCCTGTTTTGACACCGGTTCCCCAAAGACTAGGTTTAGTGGAACGTCATCAAATTACGGCGCGGTACGTGCTTGACCCCCCCCAAAAAAACAAACAAACTACATATTTGACGTTGGGGGGGGGGTTATCCTCTATCCTCTTAAGAATCCGACACGCATCCACAATGTCGGCGGGCGGATTTAAGCCACGGCCAAAACCCACGAGAACCACTTTTCAAGAGTGGTTGAATTGCATGTCCTACCTGCACAAAACCTTACAGAACGAGAAGGACCCTCTCAAAACCTCAGTTGCAATTTTCGATCTGGAGCTTTCAAGGTGTATTTTGGCCGTACTATATATAGACTTGTACTACAAAGTTGCGATTTTCGAGCTGGAGCTGGGGAGAAGTGTACCTCTAAAGGGACATGCAAGGACATGCAGGGGACAGGAAGTCGACATGACAGGAAAGCAAGGGGACATGAAAGGCAAACGGAAAGGGACATGACGGGGAAAGAGGGCGGTCCAGTGTCTGTGCGTGGTTCAGTCGGATTACCAAGAGATGCGCGAACGCAATTTTCGTGAAGTGAAGCAAAGTTCTGAAGTGAAGTGATGTGAGCACGGGTGCGTTCCACCAAACGTAGTCTCCGGGGAGCCGGTGTCACAAAGCAGGGGTCCCAGGCTTGAATCCCTCTGCCGGCTCTTTGCTGGTTTGGGTTTTCTGCTTCCTTTTGCCGAAAAACCTGGAAAAACTCTGTGTCTTTGACAACACGTTTGCAAACATGTTGGCAAACCCCTGTTTTTTGAGAAAAATACCGGGGAGCGAAGGGGAAACGCAAGGAAGCGCAGGGAAAGGAGGGGGGGGAATAAAGGGACATGCAAGGACATGCAGGGGACAGGAAGCGGAAATGACAGGAAATCAAGGGGAAATGAAAGGGGAAATGAAAGCGAAATGAAGGGGAAAGGGGCAAGAAATGAAGGGAGATGTAGGGAAATGATTGGAAATGAAGGGAACATGAGAAATGAAGCAGACATAAATGGGAAATGACGGGGAAGAAATGCAGGGGGAATGCAGGGGAAACGCAGGGACATGAAAGACAGCGCAGGGGAGATGAACTGAAACGAAGGGAGATGTAGGGAAATGACTGGAAATGAAGGGGATGTGAGCGGGAAATGAAGCAGAAGTAATCAAGGGGAAAAGGACAGGACAATTGTTTCTGTCTTTCTCTCTCTTTCTTTTTTTCCGCTCTATTTCTCTACTCGACCTATCTATCTGTCAATCTATCACCTCACCTTGCGAACGTGCTGCGCCTGCCACAAAATCTGGACTTCACCTTGCAAACGTGCTGTGCCTGCCACGAAATATGTACTCGACCTCGCATGGCTGCAAAACGCCGCGCCTGCCACGCGATTTGCACCTCAGGTTGCCAAAGTGTTGTGCCTGCCACTCGATTTGCACCTCCGAAGCAGTTTGCGCGGCCGTGCCATTGGGGAACTTTCGGTCCCGTGGCGACCCCGTGGCCACCCCGTGGCAACCCCGTGGCGAACCCGCACGCTGAACAGAGGTACCCTTCACGATTCTGATCAACTCTATCTTCTGATTCTGATCAATTCTATCTTCTTATTGTGATCAACTTTTCGTATTACGGAAGTTTTCTAACTAAACTTCCTTTGATAACAGGAAAGAAAGAGAAGATAAAGAGAAAAAGAGGGAAACAAAAAACACAATGAAACAGATACAAACAGAAGAGAACTAAAGCTTTGATCTGCGTGAGACAAGAAGGATACTGCTATCATCAAGAAACAACCACGCATCCTGAAGATACCGAATGTTGTGAATCTGGGCCCTAGATCCGACACCTACATGCGATGGAATAGTTGCATCCCATCCAAATGGAAAAACATCATTGGCCTGTTGCTTGCCAGCTCCGGGCACCAATCGAGAAACAATCTGTCAAAAACTCTGGCTAGGCCCATGCAGCAGTTCTTACATAGTTTACATTGCTATTCATACCATCCTTTGACCAAATCGCTATCGGCGGGTATAGTCGTTGCCGTTCGCACTTTTTTGTGTTTTTTTTCTCCGTGAATATACGGTCATAAGATCTGCAAAGCCGGGCCTGAAACGTGGCAACAGCCAACATCTGCAGCACTCTGACGGCTTGCACACCCCCAAGCGTTCCTCGAAATCAATTGTATAGCCATCATATACGGAATGCATAAGGATTTACCAGATTTTCCTTGGGAGGAAATGGGCCAGGTGTGGTGGACACCTTCTTCACGCTGCAGACTGGGCTGGGCGGCCGACCAACAGGGGATGCTCCAGCACTGGACCGGCTCCCAGTCTCGCTCCAGCGCTTCAAGCAAAGCGCGACCTCAGTCCGTCGACGCTTGCCGCTTGCCACTCGAAACTCAGTGCTCCAGCCTCCCGTAAGACCCATGTCATCATCATCTGCCTGCAGTACAACGCCCCGCAACACATTCATGTTGGCAGGGGGGGTTCCTTAAAGGTTACAACATATCCTTTTACAGGACCCTCCTGTTGCTCAAACCGGATTTCCTAATCCCGGGTGTTCGCTACCATCCGATTCTCCGCATCAAATTCCGCCCACAAAAACTGAAGGCAGTTTATCTCCCCGACGTGCCTTCTCGCCCACGTAAACCAGAAAGTTGCCGCCCCAGGCCAGCAGCAAATCCAGACCTTGGCTTGCTCTCAGAATCCAACCCAATCTTAAGCTCAACGCGGCCAGCGCTAAAGCCTTTTTCTTGGAGGACAGCTCCATTCCAGGGAGCGGGAGGGATTGAAGGCATTGGGACAAACAAGGCACCCCCGAGCCTGAAGTGCTCTAAGGACCCCACCCACTGTCTCAGGACTGTGCGGGGGCCAGCTAAGCAGCAGCGCCCAACTGAATGCGAAACTCGTGCGCGCGCGATCTCAAACTCACTTGGCCCAAGAACCTAGACACAAAAGGTCAACTTTTTAGGGGTCTTTACTAAAAGTGGACCAACAAGGGAAAACCAAAAGGTTAAAAGGTCGCCTTTGAGCAACTGAGCAAACATATCATCCCAATGCCCGATAAACTCAGCTGGCTGATATTCATCCTCCTGAGTAGGACTTCCTTGTGGGCCTGCAAGGGTGATGGATACCGGCAGCGCCTTCACGCACCTTTGATATTGGAACGAATGTCCAGGTTCACTGCCACAGGGAACCTGCTTCGACTTTAGTGCCAACCCCTTTGCCAAAGCCACGCCATCCTCTGGAAGGGCGGAGGCGTGGTTGGATGACCTCTAGCTTTTCTAACCTCTAACTTCTATGATCTCTCTAAGTTTTCTGCTGATCGTAGACTAAACTGGTTGGCGTAGACTAAATTGATAAGGATCCCCAGCATCAGCGTCTTAGAACACTTTGTGGACTAAGCTGGTCGACACCCTCAGCACCACCGTGTACAAAACGACACCAGCATCACCGTCTATGAGTCGCGCGTGCGGAGTCCTCGGGTAGGCCACAAGGGTCCACACACCGACCATGGAAATGCTGCACCAATGCCGCCCTCAGATTCACAGGAACCTGTGCGTTTTGCGGCACGGGAGACAACGGAGGATTCAGCCACAATGCCTGGCTGAAGAAGCTTGCTAACTTGGCACACAACAAACATGACTGGGTCTGCGAGGTTTGTTGTGTTAAACAAAACAGCGTCAATCTGTCAGGGCCTCTGTCAAGCTTCGATGAGGCCAGTGACACTCCCCCCCCCTTGCTGGCTCAAGACAGGTGGCCCGAATACATAAGTTCACTGAGCTCCGGGAAAAATGCGAACAGGAATGGAACAAAATGGGTCTGGGTGAAGTATACAATTTCACCAACCTGAAAGAAGGTGGTTGCGGGGCTATTCCCGCATAAACCACAATTTGGGGTGAGCTCGTGTGAGGTCGTTATAATTTACGTAGCTGGGGATTGCAATGAGGCCAGTTTGCGCTTGCCTTGCGAGTGGGCTCCCGCCTGGAGAGATCGGTCCCCGCAGGCAAACCCCACTCTGCGGTCCTGGGATACTCTCAATTCTGAAGGGGGCATAGGGCGATTCAAACCATTCGTTCTTCTGACAGCTTTGAAGTTGTTTGGGGCTCATGGAGACGGTTTTCGGTTGCCAAAAGAGGCCCAGTGATGGATCCTTGCTGGCTCCTGGAATCGGTGACCACGAGCACTTGATGCCAGGCTACAGGCCTCACCTTGGTGAAGCGGAGGAGCCCCAAATTTGGGTAGCCCTGAAAAGTGTGCCCGGCAGTTTTTGCTTTTTGGTGGCCCCTGGGTAAGAAGTGCTTTCGTCAAATCAGAGCCTTTAACAAAAAGAACATGGCGCATACTAAAAAGGGTGTGGAACCATGGTTGTGGACAATTGTTTTTTAGGGTTGCCACATTTTTTTAAGGTTGCCACTTTTGACACCAACAGGTTCCCTTCAAGGATCGGGTCAAGCACTTGGTATCACAGAAAGGGCGATTTTCAATCCCTTCCCGGCCTTCCGGAGCTGGCAATGAACGCACCCTGGACGCTTGACTAAAACATGTGCAAGGGGCAACTCACGTGGCCATGAGTCAAGTTCTAAAATGGGTGCACGTACAACAAAATGGGATTCCATTTTTTTGACCCACACCGACATGGCTTCACGGCAGGTCTTCGATTTTCAAGGGTTCTCGAGTGAGGCCAGCACCGAGTAGGAGTCCAAGGCCACGGTGTCCAGTCGGGCGACCTGCGGGCTGGAGCCACGGCCGTGGCCAGAGGCCGCGTCGGCCGTGGTCATACCGTGGATGGTTGCGAACTCCATTTCGCACCACTTTGAAACCATAGGAAGGCATTGTTGGTTGGTATTTGCAGGGGGGTCATTCATTGCAGGTTTTCTTAGGTGGTGCAGGATTTCGTCCATCCACAGTGGTTCCTTTGCGGAAAATCCTTGCCATGGTTGCGGAAATTTCCTAAGCAGTTCATGACCTTAGCCCCCAATCAAAGGGTCTTGACTAGGGGGCATGGCCTGTCATTCTTGGATAGGTAAACAAAGCCGTAAAGTCCGGGAACAGTTGACGTAACTTTTTGTGGGGTCAAGTAAATCAATGGCTCCCTCAGGGAACAGGGAGACCTGGTCAGGGTGTGATTGAGTTGGTCCTTTAACACCGGAGCCATGGTTGCAAAGATATGGCACCTGCAATTTGACATACTTGTGGAATTAATGGAAAAAACCAGAGATCCTGTGTCCATGAAAAGTGCATGGTTCAGGCACACATGTTAGATTATTTGTGCTTTCCCCAGGACATCATACGATCTCAACGCAGAACTTTCAGGCTTCAGATGGAACCCGAGGGCCTGAGGGAGCGAGTATTGGTCTAGCTGGGATCATTTCCCTGACTCTTTTCCTACCCTGGTTTATGACATGACCCATGGGGGCCATTCCCTTTGACACTCGGATCCGGGAAGGGCCAGTGAAAGGCCAACCCGACAGTAACTTCAGCAACCCACTGATCGGCTTCCAGAGCGCCTCATGCCAAAGCCGGGCATGCCACCTCGGGCGAGGTGGCTCTCAATCCGTGGCCCTCAGCATGGGCATGTACCCACTGGCGACTTACAGCTGGATCTCACAAGCATCTCTTCGGCTCTGGGCGCAACCCGACTTTGAGATGTGAGCCCAAGCCGGAGACTCTGAGTTCGATTACAGACGCACCCCATGAAGCCAGCTAGGAACGACCGAACCACCTAAAATGGCCAAGACTCCTTTTCTTCGCCTGGTGCCTGTGCCAACTTCCAGGTCCTTCGGTCGTTTCTGCACGCGCACGGCTTCTTTCCACACGCTGAGCCTGCAGCCCACTGCCCGCCAATGGGTCCACCAGGCCCTGTACGCCCGCGCTGCGCAGCAAGGCTCCCGCCTGAAACTTCAAATCTGCGAGGGCCTGGTGTCTCCCCAAATCATCTAGAGCAAGCCCTCTCTGGCCTCATTATTTTACTATGGTCAAAGTCAACCCCTAAGTGGTGGGTTAAAGGGAAACAACCCCATTTTCTGACTTTGATAACCCCCAGAAACCGTCAAAATCATGACCCCAGCCTCTCTCTAGAATCTTACCCACCTATGGTCAAACGTGGTCGGATGCGTGCGATAGGGGCCTTAATTCAAGCACTGGACAAGCAATGCCCGCCTCCTGCACCGCATCTTCTGTCAACAGGCCCCAAGAAAATAGGCTGCACACGTAGTACCTGGACAGAACCCGTGCCCGCCCTCAGGTTTCGGCCCGGTTTCCTTGAAGCCCCCGAGACCCACGAAGGTTCGGGCCATGTTGGGGGGTAGGCGTTCCTCAGATCCCACACCAAGTGCCGCCCATTGACAAAACACAAAGGCTAGCGCGCCTCCATCGCAGAAGCACCGGTGCCCAGCCACAGGTTGAGGAAAGTGGCTTGGAACCCAACACCTGCATAGCCACACGTCAAACAAAGAATCGTTCCAGGCAACAATCAGTCAATTGAAAAAAACACATTCGAATCCTCATGTGTCTTCAGCTCTGACTGAAGTCTAGACTTGAAAGAATTTCGAGCCCTCACGTGTGATCTTCAGCTCTGAGTGAAGTCTGGTTGTGCTGAGGGCGCGGCGCTGTCGTTCACAGCTTTCAGCGCCTGAATGAATTTCATGTAAGCACGCCTGGCTGCGCGACTGGCCGCATCTAGAAAACCAGGACCGAACATGGGCAAACAAATGCACAAAAACTTGTCCAAGAACTGGACTCGAGCTTAAAACACACGGGCCCGCCGGGGCTTCAAGTTGCCTTGCTTTCCTTTCAGCGACTTCACAGTATCTTATCACTATTGATCTTGCTTCTGCGATTGTTTGGTGCACAGAATCCGCTAGCAGCAGCGCGCGCGCGGTGCATGTATACGTGTCAACACATGCATGCGCATATTCAAACTTGGACATCCATACGCACAACACATACCATCTGATACGGATATCTTGGAAGATATCCGCAGCCAAAAGGCGCACCAGCCAACTCATGTGGCCATGGGTCAAAATCCCGTACCCCCAGTGAACATCCCAATCCCCACTAAAATAGGTTCTAAAATGGGTGGTGCACCTACCCCAAAATGGGACCCCTTTGACCCACCGCCATGTCCACCTCTTTGACCTCGCCGCTTTGACCCAGCCTCACGTCCGAGAACTCCTGTGCATCGGGGATCTTTGCCTGGGGGCAATGGCTTCGAAGGTGCCACGCTGGGCCAATCATCGCAGGTGTGATGGATGTGACCTTCAACTACTGGGGACCTGAAATGGTGGACGTCCATTCGGCCGCCAGCCACGATTGAGGGGGGGGGGTCCTCATTCAACGTCATTGCCACACGCCTCCCGCCCCCCAAAGCAACCAACTTTTAACACCAGAAGAGTAAGGCTTGCTCCGACCCCTGCCATCCCAGCCCCTGCGCCAATTGCCATCTCCCATCAAGCCGAGTTCCTGCCCTTGGCACGTCTGAGCAAGGCACCCCATCTTCGCAGGCCAGCTGGTCCACATGGTTCACCAAATCCTCGCAGTGCCAAAGCTGCTTGGTCACAAGCTAAGGTAAGACCTCCAGTGAGTGTTTAGCGCACATCGGGGCTGCATGGAAACAATTGGAAAGAGTAAGCCGTCATCCCCGTGCCCTTGCAAGAGTGAGAAGCGAGCCGGCGCATCCTGCCACACTTCTTGCCGTTTCCATGCCAAGCTCCTATCACTCGGGATGTCAGCACTCGGATGGGCGGGTCCTGGACTTTCTGACGCAAATCGAGGAGCTCAGGCTCCATGTGTACCTGGGGCTCCCCAGTCCCATGCCTTGACCAGAGATGGGCTTTTGGAACCATTGGCGGGTCAGAAGAACTAAGCCCGGGTCTTTGTTCTGGCGGAGCAGGTGCTCCGTATCTTGCCTAAACACACCGGCAGCTGGGCTTCACGCAAGATTCACCGAGGCATCCGGGTGCCGCGCTTGAAGCGGAATGCGAATGGGCCCTGCCAGGCGATTTCAATCCCCCGCAACAGGAAACTCGATTTGCAGCCCCCCGCGGAGACTTCTCCGCCAATTCCAATCGCAGTGACCAAAGTCCGGGAGCCCAAGTTGCGGAAAGCAAAGCCCGGGAGCTCAGAGGGAGGCACTGGCTGAAACTTGAGAATGGCTTGTTGGAATTCTTTGAAAGGGAGCCAGAGAGCCACAACTCCCCCTGCCAATATTTGTCAAAGTTTCCCAATGAACCCACTACCCCGCCTGGTGCCTGAAGGTCTTAAGATGGGGGGATTCCCTCCACCCCACGCACATTTTGCAGGTGCCATGTTGATTGCCCAGCGCTGCTCCTGCCTGGCATGCAGCATTGCGTCGCCTGAATCAAGATGGGACCCCCCACCATGTCTTTTCTGGGAACCGGAATCGGCCCCTTCTCGGATGCTGGAAGTGAATCAATACAAGTGACCTCTCTTGCAAACGAATGAGCCACGCCGTGTGCGGCTTGCTCTGCGCTGCAAGCCAACACGGAACCCAAAAAGGGGCTCCCCGAAAAGGAGCGGCTTGTAAAAACATGCTTTGAAGGTTCCATGGATTAACTGCAGGTGGGCACCGGACAAACACAAAATCACAAGCACTGAAGCTCCGTTCAAAACGTGAGGCGCATAGCCCGGGCTAAACAATCCCACCAACTACTGAAAGGGCTTCCCACAGGGCTCCCCATAAGATGTCTCCTTTAAACATCACCCAAAGGGGAAACCCCTTTCAAACAGATGCTTTAAGGCCGCCATGCAACTGGGTCGGATTTTGTTGAGGGACTGTTCATGCTTGGAATTTCCGGTTGGTTTCCTTGACACCCAAAAAAAAAAGAGTACTCCCTGGGACTATGGAAGGGCGCCATGAGCAAGGGACATAGAAGGAACCCTGTCCCGCCCATCCTTCCATGCCACATCTGCCAGGCGGGAGCTGCCAAAGCGGCGCTCGCCAGACGCCTAGCGCGTGGCTCGCCTGCTCCGCTGTGACTTGACATGCGTTGGGAAAAGGGTGGGACCATCTTGCAATCTGGAGAAAGGCCTGGACATCTTGAAAAGCTCGTTGAAGCCAGGAGTGAAGGGCCTTTTCCAAGTGCTGTCTCATTCCCTATGTGCCACTCAAATTACAACGGCTCTGGCCAGGCTCCTACCATGGCGCATCTAGCAGCATTCACCTCACACGCCCGCCTCATGGCTGCAAGCTGCACTTGCTCGTGCAAGCATCTCCCCTCTTCAGGGCCTGAACCCTATGCGATGCCCTAAACGTGTAGTGGGATCAGACCATGACCGAGCAGACCGCACTGCCATCCAGCTTTGCAAATACAACTGCATTGATTCTATGAACGCAGCCAACATTTGGAAGTTGGTGGGAACATGTGTAAATCTCAACGGACGGATTGAGCCATGTGAAGCACGAGGCTGACAACTACATCGGGATCAATGAATGTCTAGCACACATACACGAATGCATTTCACAGTGAACCATGTTGACTTAAGCCAAGGCCTGCCACTCTTCCACTCTGTCAGCAGCTGTCAGCATTCAGCATGTTCATGTTCCTTCCGTTTCTTGCCTGAAGCTCCTTTTTGCAACCTTCGATTAACCCACACGGGAAGCAAAGGTGCCTGGACTGACTCGGAAAATATTTGTGGTGGGCTGTCAAGAGCGATTCGGCCGTTCAGTGGATATCGGCAGCTTGTCTGTCGTGGGAGGTCTTGTAGTTCCTGGTCACCAGGGCCAAACGCTTCGAACCTGATCGATCAACCTTTGTAACATCCGCCTGTCCTTTCTCGGCCAGCAGTTCATGGACTGGTCTTCTCAAAATAGAAATAGTAATAACAAAATAATCATAATGACAATAATAGTAATAATACTAATTTAGGGGAAAAAACAACAAACAATCAAACGACTAAAAAAAGAGCACCACATAACAAGAAGCAAGCCTGCCTGATGTCCTCCAGTATTCCGGGTGGGATTTCTTTGGACGGCTTGTTGAACTGCCAGAGCTCCGTGTCTGGCGCCCGGTTCCGGGTCTGCTCGTTCTCTTGGCCAGGCGTGCCCAGGGCCAACCAGGAGGTGACGTGGATGGCACACACGCCTTTCCAGACCACATCCGTGGGCATCTGGTAAGGGCCTTGCAGGAAAAAAAACAAAAAACAAAAACATGGGCTCTGGAGACTCTGGTCTGTAGGAAAAAATCAGGGGGGAAAAAACAGAAAACATGGGCTCTGGTGACTCTGGTCTGTAGGAAAAAACAGAAAGAAAAAAAACAGAAAACATGGGCTCTGGTGACTCTGGTCTGTAGGAAAAACAGAAAGAGAGAAAAAAAAAAAAAAAAAAAAAACAGAAAGCATGGGCTCTGGTGACTCTGGTCTGTGTATTTTCTCTGATTTGTTTTTGTTGGGGGGGGGGCTGAAAGGCCCATGAGGAGTTCTGGCGCTCGGCGAACCCCCCGCCTTCCCACTCGCCTGTGCCAGCTTTGAAGGAAAATACTTGGGCGCGGTCATCGATGGCAAATGCCACACTCCTGGCCGAAGCTGCAGCCATGCAATCTTCAATCGGCTGGAGAAACGCCCATGCCGAACCAGCACGCAAGAAATTCCTCATAGCCTTGATAGCTCGAGTTGCGGATGGCTCTGCTGTTCCGCCCCGTCAAGCAAACAACGCACCCAAGGAGCCATACTAATGTGAGCTGGAACCACTTGGTGCAGCCTTGAGGGTTGATTCAGGCACAAGAATCAGAGCGGCCGCCATGTTCTGCTATTGCCGAAGTTTTGTTGTGAGAAAGGCTTCAATGCATCTGGATCGTCCAGCTCACAAGTTCTAATACGGACGGCATCTTCAACCGCCCTGCCACGTCAGTAGTAACAAAGGCTAGCTGCCATGTCCCTGCCAGCTTGAGGGAACAGGGCATGTAGCCCAGGGCCAAGAGCTTGAAACCGCTGAAATCCAAACGCCATGAATCAAGCCGCGGGGATTTCTCGTGGAATCTTTCTAGGGATCCTTACATTGTACACCTGAACATTGCCTTGTAAATGGTGGTTTCCATGTATTTTGGTGGAAAAAGCTATGTTTCAACTGGTTGTAAAATGTATCTTTTGAGGAGCCCTGTGGATCTTTGAACATTCCTGGCTCAGTGCCTTTCAGCTCCTTCGCAATGAGATCGCTGTCCAGCTGCGGATGGGAGAGCTGATGGTGCCCAGGATCTTCCAATCACCTGAAGGCCCGATCGCATCGTGAGCAAATTGCAACTTTTGTCGAGCCCAGCTCCAATTGTGAATATCGGCCGAATTTGGTGGATGAGTTGTGAGAGCTTGCAAGCCCCGAAGCTATGCCATAGAAGTGCCATCACTTTTTATGCAGGACTACGGCACGCATTTTGAGACCTGGCACTAGTTACCGCCCAACATGCGGGACACGGGGGACATTCTCGGGCCATCAACAAATGGAAGGTCCTGACGACCAATCTCACTAGAAGCAAACCAGCAGCTTAAGACCAACACTTCGGAAGCGAAAGCGGGGGGGGGCTTGACCTTGCCCACCCCTCATGCTGGCCCCCAAGGCTCCAATCCTGACTCGATTTTCCGGGCTAATGGCCGCATTCCACGGCGCAGAACTAGGCCAAAGCGAACGGGAGAGCCTTGTCGTGCCAGGTACTTTACATTGCACAGGGTTCCCAATATGTGCTCGTTAAGCATCACCCCTGCGAGCAAAAGGAAACTCACTTTCAGCTGTCCCACCACGTCATGTTTGAACCCCTGCAGCCAAATCCGGGGGGCCACCAATCGCCAAGCTGCCACTAGCGTCAGGGCCCAACCCCACTAGGCGCGAATCGGACAAGACGATGCCTTGGAGCTGCACTCCTGGCTTTCAGCTTGGTCCCCTCACTTCCATTTGGTTGAGACCCCTGGGAAAAATAAAAACTTTTTCCAGTAGTGATAGAATCCCTTTAAAACCAACAAGGGAAAATACAAGAATACTCTTAAGCACATGGAAGCTCAAATGGCAGCGGCTTCCTTCTGGATTCCCATTGAACGCTTCCACCGGGGCTTTTTTTTCAGCTGAAACTTCCGAACCAAAACGCCAGATGTGCGATGCCGAGAAGGCAACAGCCCGGCTGCACCCGTCACCATGTGAGAGCCTCTCGCCATGGACAAATTGAGCCCCCGCGCTTGGGGCCAAAGATGAGACAATTTGCGATCCCCCTCTAGTCTGCACAGGTGTAGGTGTAGGTCATGCCAGCCAAGTTAGTAGGACATGCCAGCCAAGTCAGTAGAATGTAAAGATTTCACCGGGCCAAGCCTGTGAAACTAGGCTGCTCAAACCTGGCAACCCGAAGGTCTCCCTCGCCTGGCTGCGGGATCTCGTCCAGAGCGATGAGCTGCAAGCTCGGAAGGCGCAGTTCGGACAGGAAGCTGTCCATCTTGTAGGCCAGGGGGCTGTCTGAATGACCTGCGGGTTTAAACAGAAGGAGAGGCCTGCCGTCGGAAGTATTCGAAGGCCGAAGCCGAGACATATCTTTCCGAAGCGGCCCCACAGGTCAAGTACAACAGTGGGATCTGCATCAGGCAGGTAACTGAGCATCCCGGCCCTGCTCAAAAGTGCGTGGGCCCCGTTGAAATTGAAGAGTCAGTCAGCTCTTTGGTTGGTGTGGGGGCTTAGGGGCAACTAGCGCCAAAAGGGTTGCAACGACAGGCACAGCAATGAGTCCAAGAGCCAAAATTTGAAATGCCCCCACACGCGCCGAACAAAGCCCGGCAAACTAAAGTGCTTGTATCCTCTTTACGGTTTGCATGTGCTTTGTATCATTGGGAGGGGTCCCTTGGCACTGTGAAGCGGAGGCTCTCTTCACCACTCGTTCAGCTCCGAACCGTGCCGATGTGTTGATTTCAAAACAACCTGCGTGCACAGCTGGAAAAACATGGAAGAGCACAAGCACCAAGATCACCAAGCAGGACCCTCGAGATAAAAGTTCCGAAATCGATTTCACCGAAACCCGAGTCTCAACCTCCCACCGGGCTGTCTCCCTCACCACTTGGTCTCTCATCTCTCAAGGCCCGGCCGCAAAAGCACCAAAGCTGCCCAGGGGCATGGAACAGCGTGTCAAAAGGAACACGCACTCCAAAATCATGGTTCTGCTTCAGGGGGCCTGGGACAACCCAACTTGTTCCCGCCCTAGGCCTTCCCAAAAGACTGGCATCGTCACCAGCTGGAGGCCATCATCACAGGCCACCCACAAGCGCCCGAAGGGCCCAAAGTCTGCGTCCAGCGTGTGGCGACAGGGGCCCCTTGGACCAATCGGTCCACTCCAGTGCCCCATCCACCCGCTCCCATCGAAGCGCTCCAAGAACACCCCTGCTGCCGCGTCCGCAAAGGCAAGGCTGGTGGAGTTGCCATCAGCCTAAAAATTCAGCTCAAAGGTCTCCAGCGAACTTTGCAGAGGTGAAAGTAGGCACACATCCCCCCTTTTGTTGCAATTTTGGTTTATTTATCTTTATTTCCTATGCGAATTGTGCCATCTACTCACCGCGGTGTAACTTCCAAACCAAGCCAGACAACTCCACAGAAAAGCGATTCAACATAAACTTGAACACCCAAATACAAAGTGAACAGTGAAACAGCCATAGATGTCCTTTTGCTTGAAAATAGATGGATTTCCCTGGTAGCTTTTGGTTTACCAGGTGAACCAGGAGTCGCCAGCGAATTTCTAGCACAACCAAAACTAGGTCCTCTAGTAGAGGTTCGAATAAGGGTACCCTTTTTTCTGTAGTCTATTTTAGTAGGGGAACCCTCCCCCAAAAAAGGGTAAATGGACGCTACTGGGGGGAACTAGAAAACATCAACCCCTGGAAGCCGTCGCTTCTCCGAGCAACGCCGCAACCCAAGGAGGCCGGGGCCAGCCAGGGAGGTTCCAGCCTGGCAAATGCTCGGCCCGGGAGGTTTCGGGGATATGTTCAAACTCGGGGCCTCCGTGCTTGGGCTCAGCCCAAAGGAGCCCAAAGGAACCCAAAAAAAGAAGTCAACCCATGATTAGACTTTGATTAGACCTAGGCCCAGTTGTAGACCCCTTGAGTCACTGGTAAAAAGTGAAATTTATTAAATGTATCCTAAGTTCACTCCAGAACCTTGTGGGGCCATGACTAAAACTCGATTAAATGGGGAAACCCAAAGGTCAAAAGGTTGGCTTTGGGCAACTGAGTAGGGTATCTTTGAGGCGAGTATCTATGGCATCTTGTTCTGCGGTATCCGGCCAAACGAAGAAGTGATTTGCCACGAGGACAATTTAAAACCCCCTCTCAGAGTCGAGTCCTCTTAGGGGGACTCCTCCTTGGGGCGTCATACCCTTGTACACAAGCAAACAAGCAAGCAAGCAAGCAAACAAACAAACAAACAAACAAACACACAAACAAGCAAACAACAAACAAACAAAGAAACAAAAAAAAAGAAAGAAAGAAAGAAAGAAAGAAAGAAACAAACAAACAAACAAACAAACCAGCAAACACATGCACAAACACGCGCGCACTCACAAACCAACAAGCAAACAAGCAAACAAGCAAAAAAGCGAAAACACAAACACACAAACAAACAACCGAAAAAATAAGACAAACAACACAAGGAAAACTAACAAACAAACAAACAAATGCACAAACACACAAAAACTATACCACACACAAACGCACAAGCACACAAGCAAACCCACAAACACACAAGCAAACAACTGAACATACAAAAAGATGAAAGCAAAAAGACGAAAACAACAGGAAAAACCAACAAACGATCAAAGAAAAAAAACCAAACGAAACAAGAACAAACAAAGAAGCAAACAAACACACACAAGCAAAAAACAAAACAAAAAACATGCAACAAAAGCAATCAAACAAACACACGAACACACACACACACACAGAAACAGAGAGAGAGAAAGAGCGCACATACACACACACACATACAAAACACAAGCAAAAGCAAGAAACACACACAAAGACAAACACAAAACACAAGCAAGCAAGCAAGCAAGCAAGCAAGCAAACAAACAACAAACAAACAAAAAAAAACAAACATACATACATACAAACAAACAAGCAAAGAAAGAAATACTGAACTCAGGAAAGAAAGAAAGAAAGAAGGAAAGAAAGACAGACAGAAAGAAAGAAAGAAAGACAGAAAGAAAGAAACACACAAACAAACAACCAACCAACCAACCAAACAAACAAACAAACAAACAAGCACACGCACAACAAACAAGACAAACAAAACAAACAAAACACACAAACAAACAAACAACCAAACAAATAAACAAATAAACAAACAAACAAACAAACAAGCAAAGAGAGAAAGAAAGAAAGAAAGAAAGAAAGAAAGAAAGAAAGAAAGAAAGAAAGAAAGAAAGAACGAAATAAAGAAAGAAAGAAAGACAGACAGACAGAAAGAAAGAAAGAAAGAAATAAAGAAAGAAATAAAGAAAGCAAGAAAGAAAGAAAGAAAGAAAGAACGAAAGAAAGAACGAAAGAAACACACAAACAAGGACACAAACAAACCAACCAAACACACACACACACACAGCAAACAAACAAATATACAAACAACACACACAAACCAAACACAAATAATACAAGAAACAAACAAAGAAACAAACGAACAAACCAAACAAACACACAAACACACACACATTGCTTGAAACGCGCGGCCTCAGCTGCAAGTTGCTGCCGGCCAAGGCGTCCACTGCACGCTCCTCCGGCATGCAGTGCCGGTCACAGGTGTATTGCCAGCTCCAAGCCTGACGTGGACGCTCCGCGTGACGCTTGGGCGGGCCAAAGGTTCCCCAGGTTGAAACCGTTGGAATTGAGTACCCCTGTTACCAGTTGAGTTCGCAAACAGCTTCCAACTGGCCCCAAATTTCCTATCTTATACGAGAGTTCCCCACTTCTGGGTTGGTATTTACAGATTCGGGGTCGTATCAGGCCAGGGTTTCTGGTTTGGACATTTGGTTTGCATTTCCAAGCGACTCCCAAAACAGACTTGGGCTTTGGGCGTCTGCGGTTCAAATTGAAGCTTCTAGAGCCATTTTGTGAAAGCCCATGACTTTCCAATGACTCCTCTTGCCGTGGCTCTGAATTATTTTCTGGGCACGGGGCACTCGGGGCACAGCAAGTCATGCTTGGAAACAACCCTGCGATACCAGACCGGGCCATCCCCACTAGTTTTGTCACTGTCAATGGAATTCGCTTTGTCGCAAAACATAAGCCAACAGCATGGCTTCCCACAACTATGTGTCTGCAGTCTCCAATCCAATTTGACCTTTCTCCTTTGTACATCGGACATGACAGGGGTGGCTAGCTACTGCTAGTTACTAGTAGCTTGCGGCACGCAACACTCCAACATCGTGCCTGTGGCCGCGTTGAAATGACAAACCACATCAGCACGGGATAGGGGGCGGGTCTCCTTTAAGGTCAAGATGAGTTTCGATCCCGCAAAGAATGCAAGCCTAGCTGATGCACAACGAGGGCGCCCACATCCCGATGCTGATGTTGCCAATCCCGAATTTTGTTTGTCCTGCAGCTGCACAACATGCGTGCGACCCGCATCGTCATAGAAGAAACCATCTCTCTCCAAACGGTGGCCAGATAGACCCCGGGACCCCAGGAGCACAGAAGCCATGAAAACAAGACGATCAGTTCCTGCTTCACAAGTGCACAGACTCGGGCTGGAAATATGACCAGGTCCCCTCCCGTGCTGAAGCAAGGGGCCGAGGCGGTCAACCAAAGGACCGTGTTGATGACCACGCCGCCGAAGAACTGCCAGCGACCTGAGAGAGCCTGGGAAGGGGAAACTTTAGCTCGGACTCTGTTGATGCCTTCCAGGCCAAAAGCTTAGGTTTGCTTGCCCGGAGACATTGAATTTAGACACCCGGGCGTGTGAACTACATGCAGCTGACAAGAACAACAAGCTGATGTCAGGCACCGCCTTCAGCTCTCGAAGGGCAATCTGCCAACCCTTTCAAGGCAAGGAGTGCAAGGGCGGCCGCAGGGACCTACGGTTACTCAAATCTTCCCGAACCTTCATCCGACCTGGGTACTGATGATGGCTCATTTGGTCACACGTAGAAAAAAGGCTGAAGAGGCCACACCTGCTTTGAACTTGAGCGGGGAAGTGGCGAAAACCTTGCAAATAGGCAGGGATGGGTGTTTTGTCTTTGTTGTGCGGGGGGTGGGTGGGTTGGGTTTGGGGTCGGGGTAGGGTGGCATCGAAGACACAGGTAGATGTGATCATGGCTTGGAACAAGCAGGCCGCCTTCTCAGTCCGTAGAAACCGCGATTTGGTCCCCGAATGGCAATTTAGACTTGGTCCTCCCTCATGCGGGCTTGAGATTGGTGCACGGGTCAGCCTTCTTTCTTTGCCGCTGTCCTTCCTTCCTTCCTTCCTTCCTTCCTTCCTTCCTTCCTTCCTTCCTTCCTTCCTTCCTTCCTTCCTTCCTTCCTTCCTTCCTTCCTTCCTTCCTTCCTTGTATGCATCTGGGCCAGTTAGAAGGTTGTTTGATACCCTCGGCCTTGCTTTGTTGCTTCTTGGCCACTTCCCATGAGAGTGTTTCGGGGTGGCATCCCCTAACACATCCCTCGCAAGTGCGACGCCATGGGGCATTCTTGTCCAGGTGCTTGGTGAATTGAGCCCGGAAGCTACGAGCACCACTCACCGGGAAGCCTCCGTACTCCTGACAAAAAATGTGCGCTCAAAAACGGGGGCCTGGATTCCAACATACGAAACTGTTAACCCCCCCCGAATTGACGTGAAACGTGAAAACGGCATCAGGCTCCAAACATGACTGGATGTTGCGGAGCAGGTTTCACATGCGCTGCGTGCAACATGGATGTATTTTGGGCTCAGCGCTGATCTAAGGGGTAGAATCCATGGAGACGAATGGCATGTCGAAATTTCTCAAACTCGTGAGAGATCATGCCCCAAGCAAAGCTAAACTCCTTAGGACTTCAATGAAGCTGTCAGCTCTACATGATGCACAGCACACCTGGAAAAAACACCGTCCTCCAGCTGCTGCATATCCATCTTTGTCCAGTTCTCTGCAGAGCAGAAGAGCAGCTGCCCCAAATGGACAGCTGCCTCGGCCAGTTCATCGCACGGTACGGCGGGCCCAGTCTTGCCTTGGTTTGTGTCGTGTGGGTCGACCCAATGATGCCGTTGCGCACGAGGGAAGCATCCCGTGCCACTCGCGTCCTTCACCCAGAAGCCGGAGACATTTCGCAGGCTGCGGGCAGCGCTCTTGGGGATGGCGCTCACAGCGCGGGTCATTTCATAGAGGTAATTGCCTTAGCGCAAACAAGGCCTTAAAGCACCAAGAATCCTAATCCCTAACAAGCTGACAAACACAAACCTGCTAGAACATGCCCAAAGACGTGCGCTTTGCAGGTTCTTCAGCCCAGAGAGGTCTTCTGCCTCCAGCACCGCATCCAGGGAGTCCAACAGCAGGTTGGCAGCAACGAGGCTGCTGGCGAGTGTGGATGGGTTGAAGTCCGGTGTGGAATCTTCAGATTCCGTGTCGCTTAAAGACAAGGGCCGGTCCAAGATCCTCGTCTGGCTCAACCACTGCCTGGGCCCATTGGAAACCTCGTCGTGGCCTCGAGGTGGTCCCTTATCGCTGTGAAGCACGTTGACATACCTGCGACGTGCGCGGCCATGCGTGCAGTTTGCTGACTCCGCCGACATTCTGCTTATATTGGGATGCCATGTTGCTTGCGCTAGATTACTTTGCAACGTCTACGCCAAGCGAATGTGAAACCTTGACTGTCTGGGAGACAAGCAAGATCAAGCAAGGAAAGACCGAGTTTGAACCGAGTCTAGACCATTGTGTCTATAAGGGGGCCGAGATTGCTTGTGTGGAAGCGCGTTTGCTGTGGCGCCGTGCCCCTCTGTGGAGAGATTTCGCGTGTTGACGTTCTGTCACTGCGGCGCCGAGCGAATGTGACGTGTCTTGAGTGCGGCAGACCCTTAGCGGAGATCGTGCTCAAAAGTTGCGATTCTCGAGCAAAGCGCGAAGGTGCTGCGAACCAAACCCGCGACCGCACGATTGCGCCAGCAGGCGCGCAAACCACGAGACAGCTTCCAAAGACCATTTCGCTCGGCGAGAATGTAAGACAATTCGCACGGTGAGCTGACAGGCACGCGCGGTTTACCAATGTGGGGGTTTCTTGAGGTGGGAGGTGGGGGAACCCCAATTGGATGGATTTGTTCTGACACCTCTTTCAAACAGCAACTTCCTACCAGGGTACCCTGGAAAGAAACACAACCTGGTTGCACAGCACCCGAGAAAAACAAAAAACACAAGCCAGGCCCGGGATTTGAGCCGAGCAGGGCCACAGCCCTCGCCTTGAGGCGTTCCAATAGGAAGGCCAGTCTTTACGCACCACGCCGGACCAGCAAATGATCAGCACCCAGGTGGCCTCTCACGGCGCTCGAAAACAAGCCATCGGTGACTTGGATTGAGGTGGCAAACCAGTTGGTTTCTACAAGTATGGCTTCAGAATATCCCTTCCAAGGAGCCAATTCGGGGCTAATAGGGTTCCTGGTTTAACATGTCGCATGTTTGGGGGGCCCTCAACCATGGGGAACATCTGAAGCTCAAAATGCAAAGTGATGCCGAGAGAGGTCCCAGGCTTCATTTACAATTTGTTTTTGTTCCGGCAAGCGAAAGGCCCACACCTGTTGCAACATGTTGGGTCAAACTTGGAAAAGTTCAAAAATCCCGTACCCCCAGTGAACATCCCAATCCCCACTAAAATAGAATAAAATGGGCGTTGCGCCTACCCCAAAATGGTACCATTGGTGTTGACCCACAGCCAAATCAGCTTTACTCCAGCTTTAAGCCAACCAATTCAGTCAGTCTGTCAGTCAGATTCCACTCGGCCGCTCCTGGAGGGTAAAAATGGCTGGGAAGGCCCACGGCACGAACTCCAAGCCGGTGCTCTGCATGTCCCCGAAGCGGAAGTACTTGGCGGCGATGAAGAGCGGGCCAGCCTGCGAGCCGAAGCAAGCGCCACGGATTCGACAAGGGACCCTTTGGCTGGGGATGCTGGGGCAATGTGAAGGAAGCTCATGAAGGGCAAAAAGGGTAGTTCGGCCTGGCAATGAAAGCCTGCCATGTCACGGAAAGGTGCAGCAACGAGTGTTGCTGTGCGCGTTTCAGGCCCATCGCCGTCAGTGGATATGAAGAGAATTGGAAAAAACGCAAACAAAGCAAGCAACAAAATATGGTAATGCAACGAAGACACACCCCTCAAACAGCAGCGAGAACAGAGGAAGAAGTTCATTCGTGGCAACGCACACACACACACACCCTATGTTTCCGGGACAAACTCCTGCATTCAATCAAAAGCTTGGAGAGGTAAAGGGGTCAATCGCTCAATCCAAAGGCAAGTGGTGTCTTGTCGCAGGAAACTTGCCCATACGGTTCAAATGGGCATGCTGCGCTAATGGGTTGGCAGCTTTTGTTTCACCCAGAAGTCACACGCAGAGCTTTCCTTCCCCATCAGTTGACGTGAGAGGCAAAAAGACCATCTTCCAAAGTGATGGCTTGGGGATGTCTCGGTGGCATCATAATTCAAAGCAGCCCTCCAGAATTGCAGGTCCTCAAGCTAGACAAAGGCCATGTCTCTACGTGCATTTCAGGCAAACCTTTGGGCAGATTCCCCACCAGCGTCAGGACTGCCAGGAAGATCTTGCCCGCCAGGGAAATGTTCAAGCATTGAATTAATGACCACCAGCAGCTGATGGACAGGTACCCGAAGCTCGCCCAGCCACCCCCCTTCACCACAAAGCTGTCGGAGGTGTCAACTTCCCGCAAGTAGAACAAAGAGAAATACCCAAGACCACTCAGCAGACAGGTGGTACCTGCCCCGTCGCGACCAAAAAACAAGGAAGCTTTGAGCCCACTGGGGGCAAACCCTTGGATTCCAACAAGAGTTGTAGGATCAGCAGACGGGGTAGAAGTGGCTGGGGTAAGTGCAAACATGTCATGGATCCCAGGCACCGATCTCCATAGCAATTTGGCCATAGAGCTCAAAGGCGGCCCAGCTGGTGTGCAAGAGCCGATAGATCTTCAAGTGTGGCCTCGGCTTTCGGGTCAGTGAACTGCCCACACAAATCACCAAGGAAAGGATCAAGCTGGCCACACCTGGACCCAAATCTGCCAGAACAGAAACAACCAGCCATACTGGCAGCCCGTATTGGGTCGATGGGCTAAATCACTAAAAGGGCAACTCACATCGGAGCTACCTAAACACCTTGGGACCAACAAGCCATGGCCTGACGCTGCCTGGCGAGAAAGATTCTCGGCACGCAAGACCTGTCCCTGGCAGCTGCTCCTGCTCCTGCTGTTGCAGAGGGGGAAGCAGACTGGATGCCGCTCAACTCCAGAATCGTCACACGCGAGTTTCGCTGAATTAAGCCCGGCGGAAACACCTGCTGCAAATGCAGATGCAAATGCGCAGCTCCAGAACCGTGATATAGAGCTATGAATTGAGAAGGAGCGGCACGGGAACTGAAGTAAACACGGTACTTGGGTAATCATAGCATTTGACACCCAAACATAGTTTTTCAAACTCAAAGTCAAGCTTGGATTTTCAGCAAGCCAGCCAGGCATTTCAACAAGTTGACCCGCGGCAATCAAAAGTGGTATCACAGCAGGCCGGACGAGTGGACGAGTATCAAGAAATTGGCACACAAGGCACATGCCACACAGGCTGGCCCGAAACAGGTGCCAAGGTTGCATCGAATTCTTCGGCTAAGCTCCGAACTCCATGTAGCCGATCGTGGCGATTTCTTCCGCGGGCGTCAGGGATACAGTGCCCTCCAGCACGTCCCGAATGGAGACCGCAGGGATGACCTCCTGTGGCTGATAGGCTCCAATGCCATATTTACGGATATTGAAACCTATGCATCCCCAAACCACACCGACAAAACCATAAAGCAGGGTTCCTCAATGGATCCTCTAAGTCGACTGGTAGAATTTATGTTTTCGCGGGTCCAAATGGCGTTTTATGTTTTAGGTTGGTCTGAAAGCATGCCAAAAACAACACCAGGCATCTCGGACTAGGCACGGCGGCCGGGGCAGCCTTTGGCGCCGGCGCCATGGGCGGCTTCCAGACGTCAGCGTACCTGGCGCGGGTTCTTCCCCGAAAACCCTTACCCTCCCAGCAACATGGAAGTGCAAATAGGCCCTTTCCAAGAGGAAAGTAGTCTTTCTACAGCCTGTGCACTTCCATGTTCGCTGGTGGGAGAGTAACCCAAATTCTGGTGCAAAAGGGGAAGCTGATTGAGAATCAGCTTCTCAGGTTGTTTCCGATTTGTCCGAGAACCTGAAGTCTGGGCAGGCTTTGACACACGCTCCTTCACGAATGTTCCCCACTCAAGTTTGGGAGCAGGCCTGTGGGTTTGTCTGTAGTTGAGGGACCCCAAAGTTGAAGCAGGGTATATACCGGTGTTTGTCTTTATGTGCTTCCCTACGTTCGGGGAATCCGCAATGGCGCAAAAAAGAAGCGTTAATGGTCTTGTAATGTCGAGGGATAGGTAAATAAATACAAATGAATTTAAACAATGCATAAATAGATAAATCAATTTCTATGATATTGTATGATATTGAAATGAATTGAAGAGGTGGTTTTATACATATAAATGTAAATATGAACATAAATTAATAATACTGGCCCTGCTATTTTAGCATCATCAAAGTCGTTCCCCTTGGCGGTCCTACTTGAAAAAACCCAAACTGACTTTGATACCTCTTGTAGAGTAGTTAAAACAGCATGTCTGAATTCCAAACTCGCGGGTCGCGAGCCCTGAAGAAAGGATTTCAGGGGAGTGACCCAGAGTGTCACCAGTCCTGGCTAGCGCGCGATTGCACTTCACTGTTTTCTCAAAATAGAGGACCAGGTTGGTTTCCCTTTCAAACCCTCCCAAAAAAGGTCCACCATTTTGAGAAACGCCTTCATGTGCAACCTAAGACCATCCCAGTTTGCGAAGTATGGCTTGGGCCTCCATTAGCCCTGGATTGCAAATTGTCGTTTGCGCGTTTCCTGAGCAGGGGACATAGACACATTACGTCTTGTTTCCCGTCGCATGTTCCATGGATCTTTGAGTGCTCGTAAAAGGCTGGATCGGCTTATCATGCTCCTCAGGAGCCGATAGCAGAAAAGATCGCGTGAGAGCGGACAGTGGTTCTGCCAAATTTGCCACGCGCCTTCTGCGCCATGCGCGACTGGAGCGATGGATTAATTGCCCGGCACAAGTTTGGGCCATGGAAAACACAAGTGCTTTCTTCATCAGATCAACCACTTCAGTGGACCTGGGTGTGTGTTTCTTGAGGGTGGCCTTTTTGAGTGTGTTTATTTCGGGAAACGTGAAGCCACCCATTTTGAAAAACCATCCGTTGCTATGGAACCTGGCAGGTCCTTTTAAGTTGAAATACCAGAATTCAAGTGATTCAAGAATGTCCAGTCCTATGGCAGCGACGCAAGCGCGAGGATCCCCTTCACAGCCTTGAGCCAAATCATGCACCATACCCGAAGAGGAAGCTAAGAGGAACACGCCCCTTGAAAAGGTAGGTTTGTTCAACTCCCCCCTCTTGCGATTTGGGCAGGCGCAGGACGGGTCGCAGCGAAGGGTGGCTTCACCCCTTGCTAGAATGATTGCATCGACTTAGAAAGGCGACCAAAAGACAATTCTCGAACTAATGACATGGATACGAACTAATGATCCAGGCAAAGGTGCCATCTCAAGTTGCTAGCTGATGTTGCAAGAGCGGCAAAAAAAGCTTGTCAAGAGTCGAGATGCTGGCACAAAAGCCATGACGAAGCAAGGCACTCAACTGGGAACAACAAAGCTCACCATTAAATGCTGCACTGGTTTGTATGGCTAAGATATTCAAAGCCCATTGATGCATTTCGCAACTATGTTTGTCTAAGATTTGGCAAATGCTCAAGTGCGGCATGCCCCGTCGCCTCACAAGGACACCGGTTTAGGGCGCGAAGTCGCCCCCCCTGATTCCAAGCACACACAAGTTTCTTTACTGCAATGCAAACCAAGACGCGAAAACTTCAACCTGGCAACACAAGGGTGTCTAGCAGCGACCTGGTGAGAGCCAAGTAGTGTCATGCAATTCACTTCTCGTGAAACTAATTGAGTTCGCTTCATGGTGTGAGGCGCCCAAAGCTAGCCAAACACTGCAGGGGCAGGTGAGGTGTTCATTCAGGCTTTGATTGTTGCGGACAAACCCCAACATGAATCAAGTCGAGGGCAGCGCCCCACTTCTCAGGGCCGAGCGCCTTCGTCAAGATATCTCCTTTTTGCTCGGTTGTCACAATGCAATCTCATTCGTGATTGGGGTTTCAAATGTTCTGACAATGAGGCGATGTTGATCTTGTGAGTCTTTTGCAAGTGTCTCAATTTGGAAGAAAATCCTTTCGATATAATCGCAAGGACAGCTTGATTATCTTCCCAGCACTTCACAAGAATCTCACGGCCAAAGATGTGGCTGCAAGCGATCTCCAAGGGCATCACATCATTGTACACGGCGGTGGCCAAAGCCACTGTTTCGGATACAGTCGTGGATCCGCTGGTGACAGTTTGCTTTCGGCTTACCCACGCAAGAGGAAGGAAAGAGTTTTCGGCTTCAAGCGCAACGAAGTAACCCGAACAACTCCTCATGGTGCTTACACAGTCACCAAAACTCGCGTCTACCCAACAGGACAGTCACAAGTTATCCAGAGGGTCACGCATGAAGGAGTGCAAGGCATAAGTCGTGGTTCGGCTCAATTAACCCACTAAGCTTGTCTCGAGCAACAAAGCTGCAGCCTCTGGACGCTTTGCAAATGCTCCGCAAGTAAGCGCTGAAAACGCTTTGCGAACAAAGGTTGGGGCGCTTGGGCACAATCCTGCGCCTAATCGTGCTCTTCTGTGCGCTTTGGGGCCACTGGCAAATATTAGCGAGATAATTTGTGGGGTGCCCAAATTATTGTTCCCGGAAACAGCCCTTGCGCCGAAATTATTGATTTTGCCCCTTGCCTTTCAAAATCCTGGTTGCCGGTGGCAAACTTCTAGCGCGCTGAATCAGCTTGATCTTCCCCTTTGCCTTTCAAAATCCTGGTTGCTGGTGGCAAACTCCTAGCGCAATGAGTCAGCTTGACTTTACCCCTTGCCTTCAAAATCCTGGTCGCCGGTGGCAAACTTCTAGCGCGCTAAATCGGCTTGATCTTCCCCTTTGCCTTTCAAAATCCTGGGCGCCGGTGGCAAACTTCTAGTGCGCTGAATCAGCTGGATTTTCCTGATTAAGCCGGCGACTGCCGTCTCGCATGGGGCAAATTCGAAAAGGCTCCTGTTGTTAAATGCTGACTAGGCGAGTACAAATTGGCAACACCGCCCTCCGAGCTCATTCGACGTGATTGGGGTCACAGGGCCATGGGGTTCTTGGCAACCTCCCAGACAAGATCAGGAGCAGCTGCAACTTGAGAAGATGCAGTTACAACATAACCTAACTGGACGGATGAGCTCTAGGGCACTTCCCTCCAAAGTGATTCGGCGCGACGAAGCTCACAGGGGGGTCAACCTCCAGGGTGCGACACTAGTCAGGCAAAACTCGGGAGAGGGCCTAACACTCTTGCTTCCCAATTGAGCAGCGGCCGAAACTTTCTGTGGATTGCTTCAAGTGGGAGGGTTCTTCGCCGCTGCTTTCGCTACGCTTTCGCATTGTGCGTTTTGGCTTCCGCGGGGCTTACTTTGACCTTAAAACCCTTTCGCGCGCTTTTGCGGGTCAGTCTTCCGACAAAGTGTTGACGATGAGCTTCCAGGCTCAAGTTCTTTTAACTACTTCGTAAGCCGAATAAAAGAACAAAACCGTCTTGTGTGTCTTGACACGCGGATGCCCTACGAGTAATGGAAGCCAGTTGCGAGAACCACTTGCTTGTCACTCACGCGCTACCTGGCGGACGTAACCCGGCGCGCCGGGTGGCAAAAAGTGCGGATGCGGCGTCCACGAATTCACTGTGATATCTAAGAACCTGACATCGCCTTTACGCGCCGCTTGCTTGGCATAACCCGGCGCGCCGAGCGACGCACCACGCCTAGTCTGAACGCAGAATAAACACTTAGTCATACGAGCGTGTGTTCGTAGCCGGGCTGCGCGGGACCAGCGCGATGAGCTTGCAGGCTCAAGTTCTTTTCACTACTTCGTGAACCGAAAAAGGAACAAACCGCCTTGCGCGTCTTCGCACGGGGATGCCATCCGAATGATGGAAACCAGTTGCAAGAACCGCTTCCTTGTCATTCACGCGCTACCTGGCAGACGTAAACCCGGCGCGCTGGGTGCCGAAAAGGCCCATGTGGCGTCCACGAATTCATTGTGATACCTAAGCATCTGACATCGCATTTGCGCGCCGCTTGCTTGGCATAACCCGCCGCGCCGGGCGACGCACCACGCCTAGCCGAAACGCAGCATAAACACTTAGTAATGCGAGCGTGTGTTCGTAGCCGGGCTGTGCGGGACAAGCACCATGTGCTTGCAGGCTCAAGTTCTTTTAACTACTTCGTAAGCCGAATACAAGAACAAAACAGCCTTGCGCGTCTTCACACGCGGATGCCAAACGAATGATGGAAACCAGTTGCAAAAACCACTTTGCTTGTCACTCACGCGTTACCAGGCGGACGTAAACCCGGCGCGCCGGGTGCCGAAGAGTGCGGATGTGGCGTCCGCGAACTCATTGTGATATCAAAGCGTCTGACATCGACTTCTACGCACCGCTTGCTTGGCATAACCCGGCGCGTCGGGCGACACAACGCCTAGTCTGAACGCAGCATAAACACTTAGTCACGCGAGCGTGTGTCGGTAGCCGGGCTGTGGGGACAAGCACGATAAGCTTTCAGGTTCAAGTTTTTGTAACTACTTCACAAGCCGGATAAAAGAACAAAACAGCTTTGCGCGTCTTCACACGCGTATGCCATCCGAATGATGGGAGCCAGCTGCAAGAACCATTTGCTTGTCACTCAAGCGCTATCTCGGACGTAACCCGGCGCGCCGGGCAACGCAAAGTGTGGCTCTGGCGTGACCACAAAGACAAAGTGTTGTCTCAACTGACTTCGACCGAATGCGCTGCATTCCTGGCGCTCGAAGTCGTCTGGGCTCTACGCGACGGACGTAACCCGGCGCGCCGGGCGACACGCAATTCCTAGTCTGCGCCGCCCAACGTTAATCGTGCGAACATATTCACGGCCGGGCTGCGCGGGAAACGCGCGACTAGCTTTCAGGCACCTGTTCTTTTAGCAGCTCCACAAAACAAATAAATGAACAAACGTTGTCTTGATCATGCGGCTGCCATCCGAGCGAGGGAAGCCTACTGCCACTGTGCGAGCCACTGCTGGGCCGGATGTAAATGCAACGCGCGCGCCTGGCGTCTATCAAGACACTGCTATCTAAGCACCTGACGTCGATTCTACGCGCGGGTTGCTTGGCGCTCGCGCGCTACTTGACAGAGTAACCCGGCACGCCGGGCGACGCGCGACGTCTAGTCTGAACGCAGCGTGAACACTTAGTCACGCGAGCGTGTGTTCGATGAGCTTCCAGGCTCAAGTTCTTTTAATTGCTTCATAAAGCGAATAAAAGAACAAACCGTGTTGCATTTCTGGAAACGCGGACGCCATCCGAATGATGGAAGCCAAGTACACGAACCGCTTGCTTGGCGCTCCCGCGCTACTTAACGGACGAAACCCAGCGCGCTGGGCGACGCAGAGTGCGGATCAGGCGTCCACGAAGACATTGTGATATCCAAGCGTCTGACATCGATGTTACGCACCGCTAGCTGGGCGCTCGTGCTCTGCGTGACAGATATAACCCGGCGCGCCGGGCAACACACAACGCAGTCAGAACACTCAGTCATGCGAGCGCGCGTTCACGGCCGGGCTGTGCTGGACAAGCACGACGAGCTTCCAGGCTCAAGTTCTTTTAGCTACTTCATAGACCGAACCAAAGAACAAAACCGTCTTGTGTGTCTTGACACGCGGATGCCATCCGAATGATGGAAGCCAGCTGCGAGAACGAGCCTGTCGCTCACGCGCTATCTCGGATGTAACCTGGCGCGTGACCACAAAAACAATGTGTTGTCTTAGCTGACGTCGACTCGACACGCCGCATGCCTGGCGCTCAACGGCGTCTGGGCGCTACAAGTATTTCTATCCTTGGTGTTCCTCTACAACGCACTGTCGAGAAGATCTGAGGCTGCTGCCCAATCCAAGCTGCGAAAACCCACCGCCCCCCCCCCCCCAAGTTCGGGCCGGCGCAGCGCGGCTGCCCAAAATGGCATGGCAAACTCTGACTTTGAAAAATTGGTAGTGAACCAAAATTGCGAGGGCAGTAATAACTTCTAAACAAATAAAACACACACACACATATATATATATATAATATACATATTGTACATAATGAGCCATTTGAACTGAAAACAAGCGTTGCCTGACCTGTAGCAGCCTCATGCCACCTGCTTTCCCGAACCCTCCCGATTCTCTTCAAGCATCCTTCTTTTCAGAGAATTGCCGAAATTGGAGACAATGAGCGGCTTCCGAAAGAATGGGTGAACAGAAGGGGGCATCAGATGCTTGCATGCCTCTTGGTTTTTTGTATTTCTCAAAGGCTGACCAGATGCCTCGGTGAAGCCTTCGGCTTACAACTTGGCATCCGCAAAACCCATGGCATCTCTGAGATAGCCTACATCAAAACTCATCAAACACGTTGAAAGGCCGCTGCCCTAGTGGCCCTTTCCTCTGCTTTCCAAGCTTCAATCTCACTTCCCTTTGGAATCCTTCGCACATCCGATGCCGTTTCAATCGCTCCTTTCACCTCCGAATTTCCGAATCAACCCCCCGAATGCCATGGAAATCTGAAAAACTTGCTGGTGCTCAGTAGGGAATGAGGGAATGAACCCAGGCTTTGGTCCCCTTAAAGGAAAATCCAGAAACCACCACTTGGATGGTTTATAAGACTCATTCCATCCAACTCCCTCCCTGCCAATGTTTTTTTAATCCAAACAACTCCCCCCATTCCGTGCCTGGCCCCTTTAAGGAAACCACCACTTGGATGGTTGATAAGGCTCATTCCTTCCATTTGCTTAAGTCCCCTGGAAAAAAATGAAAAACCGATTTCCTTAGTGATAGACTCCCTTTAAAGCCAACAGGGGAAAATAAAACATATTATTAGCCAAGTGGAAGATTCCATCCAACTCATTCCCTGCATCTCTCGCAGCCGGAAAATCCGCCTGCTTTTTTTTCTGCCAAACAACTCCCATTGAATGTTAAGTTTACACAAGGGTCATTCCACTCGCTGGACAACTTCGAGCCCGTTCCGCGCCTGGCCATGCGCTGCCACAAGGGCACACGGAAGGCCCGGCTCAGCGAGGCCTCGTAGTCCTCCGCGCGCTCCATGGATCGATCCAGCTCGGACACCGCCGCCAGCGGCATCCGCAGCGTTTGGACCAACATCCTCGGGCGAGCAAATCCTTTTAAAGCGAACTACAAGGACACCAACCAAAATCCTGCTCAAGTCCTTTAGCCCGGGAAACCAATTACAAGGACACCAAGCATTTTGTGGCTCCCTTGGCAAGCCCATATCCTCGAATCACGATTTTTCCAGAAATTTGGCCTGAGTCCACGAAGTGTTGCCCGGTCCGCGGCTCGCAAGGCGACAAACCCGAAGCCCCAAGCTGGGGATTCGGGATGTTCAAAGAAACCAATGGGAACGCCTCAGGATTCTCAGGGGGCAGTTTGATCCATGTTCTGAAAAGAAGGTTCCGTCGGGGGAAGTACAACTCGAAGCTTGGATGCCGATACTTTTGGACAGAAACGCGAGGCTTGTTCACATTGAACATGGAACATGGGCACGCCCCCTGCAAGGACATGACCTTGTTAGATCTGCGGCACGCGCCTGAATTCCCGAATTTCTCGAACCTGCCCACTGTCTTCTGTCCTCTCACCCCGCACCGCATATATATCATATACCCCTATCTTCCGATCCCAGGCTATAACTCTGAGAGCCCTTCCCAACGGCTTCGGAGATTCGAGGGGCAAAGTGTTTCTTGGAGAACATATCCATTGCCTCCAAACCATGGCGTGGCCACTCGCAGCCTTTGCCTGTCAAACGCTCTCTCTCCGCTCGGAGGAATTAGACTGGGTCGCAAGAACACACTCTCCTGCAAATTGACGCCCAGAACAACAAATGCAGAGGCCTCTCCTTTTGGCTTGGAGCCCCTTCTGTTGGGCAAGACGAAGCTTTTCGTCCAAACCCGCGGCAAGGACCTTCTTTGCAGCTCGGCAGCTTGGTGGTGACGGATTGCGCCAGGATCACGGCGTGCATGGAAAACCAAACCGAGCAAAGCAGCCAAAAGCAGGAGGTCCTCGGCCAAATCTTTGATGCTCTCATTTGGCCTCATTCTGCCTCATGTAGCCGTTTTTTAGTCTTGCTTGGCGTTGTGCGGCCGCAGGCGGGGTCAGCGGGCAGAAGTTGCCACTGCTCTGAGCCAGTTTTTATAGCAAAACTGTTTGATCCACGGGCCAGCTAGGAAAAGCTACATCCGATTTTGGCTACCAGCATCTATGGCTGATTATGTGCCAAGTTCTAGGTCACATCACAAATGAGTGGTCGAAACTTCTTCCCGCAAGAGGACATGGGAATTTAGAGCCTGCCCCCGTCCCCTTAATTTTTCCTTGGGGTACCTTGGAAAACTGATGGGCGCCGTTCGGCCTTTTCGGGGGGCTTCCGCCCAACTCCGCGCATGAACCGAAGTCGGGGTCGACGCCCTGAGCTGCCGAAGCTCAGAAGCGTCATCGAGAAGATCACCTGGCGCTCGCATGCGATGCCTACTGTGGGTGAACAAAATCCTCCACCCAGGAAACCCAAATACCAACAAATGGCTGCCCATGGTTTCAGAGTGGTGCAGGATTTCGTCCATCCACAATCATCCGCAGTATTTGACCCCCGGACGACTTTTTGCTCGTCGTATTACGGGGGCTGCTACCTTCATGCCCCCAAAACAAAATGCGAATTCACGTGTGTGGAACCGTGTCTCAGCGGCAACCCAAGCAATCAGTCGGGCGGGGAACACCACCGAAGCTTTATGCCAAAGCACGTTGACCTGCTCTTCAATGAAGGTCCTGGCCGAATCCCCTTTGTCAGTGCGATCGAAGTTGAAGAAAATCGTCACGATGAACCCCAACTTCAGGGTGTTCACAATGAGGTAGCTGTCTACCTGGCGAAGCCGGTCGTGAAATCAGCGGGCGATTGCACAAAGCAAATTGACATATGGTTATTAAGGCACAGCAGGGAATGTGTGTGGACAACTTCTGTAGTCGCCGTGCTCCTGTTTTTTGACCATCACGTCCGAACATTAGAAGAAAGCCAGCACAACTCACAACTCCATTCATAGTCGAGGGTTCCCGCAAGACAAACACAATGCATGATTCCCGAGTTTTGCGGTACGAGTGATTGACCATGGACTTCTTGATTTGTGACCACAAACGGCTTCCCAGTCGCAACAGTTGCCCAATAACCCCCAAACACAGGTTCAACCCCTGTTTAGGGCCAGGGCATAGGGAAAACGGGTGGAATCCACTCAGTCACTGGGGCTCTTTCCTTGTTGATGGTCAGCGCCGCCAAGTCCCGGATGTCTTCCCGAAAGAGAGCCGTCCTTGCCAGCAATAGGCTCTGGGTCTGGAATCGCTTCGCCTGGTGCACGTTGGCGTTGAACATGAAGCTGTCCCGGTTGTATTGCCATAAGCCTCGCTCTCAACAACAGGTCGGCTAGAGGAGCTTCCTAGGAAGGTTGCCTACAAAATCAGGCCCGGCTTGAAACCTTCATACGCGTCGGACCTCGATTTCGGAAAAGTCGCCGCTTCCGCGCAGCATTCTAAAATGGTAGGGGCAGCCCAGGCTGGCAGATTTCCTCTTTGCGTGGTGGCACTGTCACAGCATTGAATTCTCTGGATACTGCTTATCCTGGTCGAGCACGTAGCTCTTGCAACCATTCTCTTTTTGGAGTGTGTGTCTGTGCGATAGTTCACACCAGCCGAAACCAGTTCCAGCTGTAAAAGGCAGATGAACCTCCATAAGGTAAACTATTGCCGTTGCTGCGCACGTTTGAGGCCTAGCAATCAAACACAAGAGCAACCATGGGCAAGGCTTCGGCAAGGCTTCGCGCCATGGGCGAAGAGTGTTGGCTCGAGCGATGCTGGCTTCATCCAACAAATGATGCGAAGCCCCAGCGCAATATGCGGGCAGCAGCAAGACAACGCGCGTCTTTTTGTAGCTTCACTACAACAAGCTCAAACAAACAGTCCCCGGCCACATGCGAAGCTAAAGGCAGGCTGCTTAAGTAAAAGCCGTGTTTCTAGGCAGGCTGGATGGCCGTTTTCTAGGAAGACCGGGGTAACATGAAAGCTTGACTGGTATTTGTTTTGTCCGTCTGGCACCTGCGTGCGTGCAAAGTTCGGCTCTAAGTAAGAAATTGCAAGCAGTTCTGCAACAAGTGCGTTCCTTGGGAACGAAACATGTTATGCAAATCGACTTCAGGAGTTGCCTTTCGTTTCCAGCAAACTTTCGTTCGGGCCGCGAAGCCCAGATATGCTCTTCAGAACTGGGGGCCCTGCCCATTCCGCCATAGGAGGCAGAAGCACCGACCACTGCAGAAGAAACTCCCACCATGGCTTCCGCGCAGCTGAAAGCAGCAGCATGTGACTCGAAGGACGGAAAGGAAGGATGCTAAACAAGGTGTGAGCTGATGGGTTGGCTTGCCCATTGCGCTTGGCTGAAGGGCACTGCAGTTAAGAAGCGCAAGAAGAGGTTCAAGTGCCTGGGCTGGAGTCGGATGATTCTTGGTTTGTTTCTTTCTGGGAGTTGCCTTGGCACTTCATGTGACCTCAAAAGGTCACTCACCGCAAAACAGCTGTCAGAGTGCCAAAATGGCTCGTGTGCGGTGCGGCCACTCAACTGCCCTTTCTAAGCCCGTCGGCACCAATGCAAAGTTCAAGTTGACAGAGCTTACCCTGATTGATTGCGCGCAGTACATGCGGCTCTTGAGCATTTGTTTCTCGACATTCTTCTTGCGACTGCCCTTTGGCAGTCGCGTCGACAAAGTTCCGCCACCATTTTTCGGTGCGTCTCCGATTGACATGGGTGTGTCACAAAAAGCCTCCAAAGCCCGAAAGCAGTGGCTTCTCCTCTAAGGATTAGGTTTAAACAGCTTGAATCATATTTCGATTGTGAGTGGCTTCAATTGTATGTTCAGACATGTTTGAAGGGGTCGAATCGACCAGCCCTTAGCTCAGGCCAAACAAGATGTTTGCAGCGCGCTGGGCAGAGCCGCCAGAGCCGCCAGCGCCGCCAGCTTTGCCCGGCGCTTTGCCCGGCCCTTTCCCTTTCCCGCGCCTGGGATCGACACACAGTGGGACATCTCAAACATCTGTATGGATCGATACAGAATGTCCAGTATATATATATATACATGTGTGTGCCAAGCAATGGGAATTGTCTAACTAAAGCAATGTTGCATTCGTATGTCCATACGGGCATGCCAATGTTCAATTGCCGTAGCATGATATGGCATGTGCAAAGCTAGCTTAGCACCCAACCACATGACGTGGTGTCCCAGCTTGGACAGGCTGCTTTTTTGCATGCGTCAATATGGAGGGATCCCGGCCAAACAAAGAGAGGTTTTCTTTTTGGTTCCCCTTTTAAACCAAGCTGACAAGGTTACTCTCAAAAACGCGCACAGCCAAATCATCTGCCAAGTTGCCCTTTGCCTTTCTTTCGCCGGCGCCTTCGCCTCTTTGGCTGGGCGTCACCGATGTCTCCGTCACTCACCTGTTTCTTGGCTTGCAATTGAGGCTGGCAAGTTAACAAGGCTTCAGAACGAACGAGGCTTGAAGCACGAACAAATTCACCACCCACCCTACCTGGACTATGAATGGGATGCTGGAGCCCCGCCACCCCCCCTCCGAATGTTGAGATACTTTTTCAGGTGGAAAACCTGTGGTGCCCGCCTCAGAGACTTCCCCGACCGCTTGCTCCCACGGAAGGTCTAAAGACTGCGCAGCAGAACTCACGGAAAGCTGGCAGTCCAACGAGTCCAGCAAGCTTATGTCCTGAGCGCTCTGTCAGCTTCAGCCTAAAATGATGGGAAGCAACTCGAATTCCAAGTTCACACCTCAAAACGGAACTTCAGCCACTTTCGTGAACATGAGCAACTGAGCCAAGGTCCGCCTCATTCAACGTAAAGCCGAACGGCGCGTTGGCTTCCACACGGGCGGGCGTCTTGCTCTTGGGGATGGCCACAAAGCCTTGGACAAAAAACTCGTAGGGTTCGCAGAGAAAGAATTGAGCGTCCACAGCTCCGTGACAATTGGTTAACATGGCTATACAGATCTAGATAGATTACGGCACTCGTTTCCCTCTTCGCGCTAACTGTTTGTCTCTGGCACAGCTTTAGCTTCTTGAGTGGTGTTTGTCCACCGACAGCAGCATGCACAGCATGAGCATCAAC